AATATCAGTTCACAATCGAAGACATAGAAAAAATATCTCTTTTAGTTCCTTCAGTCGACTGAATAACTTTGCTCTTCTTCAACAGAAAAGCAGCAATCGATGGGAGGCAAACATCAAGAAATTAGCTCTGGTTTATTGCTCTATTCAAGTTTGAAAGTTAAAAAAAAAAAAAAATGAGATCTTGAGTTTTTGCGAGGAACAAAAGCATTTTGTCTGATTGCAACCCTTTGATTGCTTAATATTAGGGCCTGATCATCTTTTTACATGCATTTAACAGCTAAACAGCTAAAAGGTGGACGGAAGCTCTTAGTAGTGTACCGAGACCATAAATTAGGGATGTCTTAATATATTTTACAAAAAGCAAGTTCTTAGTAATGTATTTGACCATTATATAGGAATTTAATAGTAATTTTCTCTAATCTCAAGCCTCCAACCTTCGATTCACTGGAAAGTAGGACCAATCATTTGAGCTAACTTATGGTGGTGGGAGGAGGAAGACAACAATGGAGAAGTTGGGTTAGAGAAAAGAAGCTTAAGGGTATTATTTGTCATTTTAAAATAGCTTTCTCCTCTCTCTTATTTTTTTGCTCCCTTTAACAGAAAACACGTATGATTTCAGACAGAAGCACCACTCGACGAGATAAAATCAAATCTCGAGGACTAAATACCTAATATATAAAAATATGAGAATGAAATAATTAATTTTGTAAAATCACAAGATGAAATAATTATTTTTCTTTTTTTTTTAAGAAAATTTCTCCAATACTAATGTCTATTTGGTATGTCAAGTTGAGGTACAAAAAAAAAAAAAAAAAAAAAAACAAAAACATTAAAAGCGACATTTGAGTCCCCTATCAAGTCTTTCATGTTGTCCCCACAATCGGTGGTAATCACTGGTCAACAAAACTCACTCTAATTTTAAACAACTACAAAAGCACACAATTTATTCAATCAGAATACGAAAATTTTTTATCTGGAGTTTACAAAATTCGCCTAATTGCTCCTCCGCTTAATATGTACTATAAGATGGTAGGTAATCTGAAAGCACCATTTTGGGCAATTTATGAATTATTTGCGCAAAACTCAAGAGGCATCCATTTGCAACTTATTACACAAGCGAACATATTTCATAATCTCAAACCCTGATGATCACTCTATAAGCATTAAAAACAGCAACTAGCCGACTTCTAATAGCAACTATGTAACGAGTCGAAATCATTCAACTCACAAACCAAGTTGAAATTTCCAAATTTGTTTTTTAAATATCGAGTTCACGACATCGAAGACATAGAAAAAATACTTATTTAGTTTCCTTCATCGAGTGGAATAACTTATGCTTCTTCTTCAAGCAGAAAAGCGAGCCAATCGATGGGAGGCCAAACATCAAGAAATTAGGCTCTGGTTTATTGGGGCTTCTATTCAAGTTTTGAAAGTTAAAAAAAAAAAAATGGAGATCTTAGTTTTTGCCGAGGAACAAAAAGCAATTTTGTCTGATGTGGCAAAAAAAGCCGCTTTGATTTGGCTTAATATTTAGGGGCCTGATCATACTTTTTAGCATGGGCATTTAACGAGCTAAACAGCTAAAAGGTGTGGACGGAAGGGACTCTTAGTAGTTCTGTAAACCGAGAACCAATAAATTAGGGGATGTCTTAATAAATAATTTTACAAAAAGCAAGATTCTTAGGGTAATCGTATTTGGACCATATATAGGTAGGATTTAGTAAGTAATTTTTCTCGCGTAATCTCAAGCCTCCACCTTACGATTCACTGGAAGTAGGACAATCATTTGAGCTAACTTTATGGTGGTGGGAGGAGGAAGACAACATCGGAAGAAAGTTGGTGTTAGAGAAAAGAAGGCTTAAGGGTATTATTTGTGCATTTTAGAAAATAGCTTTCTCGCTCTCTCTTATTTTTTTGCTCCCTTTAACAGAAAACACGTATGAATTTCAGACAGAAGGCACCAGCTCGACGCAGATAGAAATCAACATCTGCGAGGACTAAATAACCTAATATATAGAAAATATGAAGAATGAAATAATTAATTTTGGTAAAATCACAAGATACATAGATTATTTTTCTTTTTTTTTTTTAGGAGAAATTTCTCGCAATACTAGTTGGTCTATTTGGTATGTCCAAGTTTGAGGGTACAAAAAAAAAAAAAAAAAAAAGACATCTGGTTTAGCATACTTCCACCATTGGAAGAAAAAGAGGATGGAGAGATGAATTCAAAATTATCGCATTAGAGAGAGACAAAAAATTTCAAACTAATCGCATAAATAGACATTGCAAAATTCTCAATCTATTTATGTAACTTTCAAGTTTCATATGACAACATCAAGCCATGAAATATGTTGAATCCATATTAGGCATTGGAGATACTACTTAACTTAACGGCAAATCTAGACACTAGGACAATTCCATTTTGCGATTGGTTATGACACAACGCTTCTGCAATCCATTTCCTACTAACGATCAGGGTCCCATAAAAAAAAAAAAAAAAAAAAAAAGACATTGTTTAGCATACTTCCACCATTGAAGAAAAAAGAGGATGGAAGATGATTCAAAATTAATGCATTAGAGAGAGACAAATAAAATTCAATATCCATAATAGACATTCAATCTCATCTATTTATACTTTCAATTTCATATGACACATCAACCATAATCCATATTAGCATTGGAGATACTCTTAACTTAACGGCAAATCTAGACTAGAGACAATCATTTGCGATGGTTACACAACCTTCTGCAATCCATTCCTCTACCATCAGGTCCCATTCTGTTGCTTCCAAAGCACCAGTACTAACATTATTCTAATTCTGGTTCTTAATCCATGAAAGAACCGCCCTCAGGCCAATTCCTTCAGCTGCTCTTGGTGAAAGAACCCTATCAAATAAACCAGTTGGAGCAAAAACGAACTTCCCTCTACAATATAGAAAAATGGCCAAAATCGGTGAAATCTTTATCCTTAAAAACTGCAACATCAATATTACCGCGTCATAGATAGGATATTGCACACCCACCTGAACACCTTTGCTTGGCAATCGCACCCGAGAATGAAGAATATCATGATAATATTTGATTATTATTTGGTCTTTTACATTTAATACAACTTACGATTTAGTCCTTATGTTTATTATTGAATTATTATTTAATTCCTCAATTTTTTGATGGAAGACTAAAAATTTTAATAGAGATAAACTTCAGGGACTAATATATTTATTAGACAAGAGAGATAAAATTATAATTGTGATCAAACTTTTGTAAGGATTTGAGAAAACCAAGGATTTGACCCTAAACTACAAGTCGTTCAGATTTTTCCACATATATTGAAGAAACAATTAATTATTTTAAATTATCACAAAATCAAGAATAAATTACATTTAATGTAAATAAATCATTTAAAATATACACATTGGTCCCCTAATTATACTTTTTTCCCCCTACTACTTTGGCCCCCTCGTATGTAATGTCTACTTCCACACATAAATATTTGATCGTTGAACTACTAATTTACTTTGCAATATATTATATGAAAACTCTTTGTTCTTAATTCAAAAATCTCTTAGGTCACAGAAATAATTGCAAGATCCATCTTCTTGTTTTTTTTTTTTTTTTAATTTTTGCTTAATTTTATATTCTATTACACCCATGATAGGATTCTAAATTCCTTTGACAAATACCATCGTTTAAGGAATTGTAAATTCTGAAATATACCGTTGCTTGTCTTATAGCATTATACGAGGATGTTTTATCCAAATCCAGGTTCTATCTTTCAAAACAAAACAGTCAACCACGATATTTGGAACTGTTAATTAGTAATTTTTAAACCAAAAATTAGAAGAATTTTTTAGCCAATAAATACTAAAAGTCTACAGTATATATTATTTTATGGCCTATTATTGGATTTAAAAAAAACAAAATTTCATCTAGACAAGTCATATTTACGTCTCTGTTTATTTCTAGAAAATAATTTTCTGAATTATTTTTTTTATAAATTTTCCTAATATTTGGGTCTTAAAAAAATTAGTCTTAACAAAAAAATATGCTTTTTGTCAAAAAAAAAAAATATATTTTGGAGAAAAATAATTTAAAACAAGAAGGTTGTGTTCGGCAACAACTTTTTAAGTATTTTTTAGTGTTTTGATTAAATGTTATTTTTTAAAGTGTTCCGTAACGTAGCGTTTGAACTAGCTTTTAACTCATGTAATGTTTAACTAAAAGCATTTCATAAAAAGCTATTAAAATAGCTACTAAAATAGCTATCAAAATAGTTAATTTTGCTGAATAGACTCAAGACATTTTCTAAATATTGACATTTAGATAATAAAAGTGATAAATATATATATAAATTAATACTAATTATTGTTAGTACGAAGTTTTACAAATAAGGTTTAACTTTTCCTTGAACATGGTTGCAATATATAATTTACTCAAAAGTCAAATTTTATATAATTATCGCTCTAACTTGCATCAAATAAATAAAACAGCCAAATTTTTTTAAAAAAAAAAGTAAAATAATAAATTTTAATATTTTAATTAGTACAAGTGCTACAAAATTACTATTTTATTAAAAGTAATAATAAAAAACATTAATATTTTTTATTTAGTTAAGAGTTGGGCCATTTTGGTGATTTGGTGTAAATTTGAGGTAATAACTGTATAAAGATATAATCTTTAGATAACATTGTACGCTACAACGAAATTTAGGGGCAAATTGAAAATAAGTTAGTTTCTCGTTTATGTTATCCAATGGACCAAAGGTTGACATTTTAAAGTTCACGTGAGGACGCACACATAAAAACATTTTCTGGCACCTTAATTCTCATTAGACTTTAGAAGCTAACGTAAATTTCCACAGGTAGTAACTCAAATCTCATAAAAAAGAAGACGAAAAACGCAAGTTTTTATAGCATAAATTGCTCTATAAATAGAGGCCACTTTTTGGCAAATTGAAACTCACAACCAAAACAGCAATACAAAGAGATCTATCAGAGAAAATGGCAATGATGGTGGAGAAAATCTCTTCTGAAACCATTAAGCCATCCTCTCCAACTCCTAATGATCTTAGAAACTTCAAAATCTGCCTCTTAGATGAATTGGCACCTCCCTCTTATGTCCCAATTCTTCTTCTCTATTCTCCTTCTGCTGATTTCAACAATGGGGTCGCAGATTATTTTGATGCTATATCAGAGAAGTTGAAGAAATCATTATCTGAAACTCTCACTCGCTTTTACCCTTTGTGTGGAAAACTGGAAGGAAATCTTTCTGTCGAATGTAACGATGATGGAGCTCTCTTTGTTAAGGCTAAAGTGAATATTGCAGTATCTGAAATTGTAAAAAACCTAGAAACTGATTTGCTGTATCAGCTTTTTCCATTTAATCCTTACAAAGTGAGGCCGGACGGAGCTAGGGAAAATGGAGAAGCAATGATCACAGGTGTTCAGGTTAATCTTTTTGAGTGTGGAGGTGTAGGAATTGGTGTTTGTGTTTCACATAAGATTGTAGATGGTGCTGCAATGGCTGCTTTCCTTAATGCTTGGGCTGCTACTGCTACTGGCATTGATAATACAATTTCGCCTCGTTTGGATGCTCATAAGCTCTTCCCACCTAAAGGCATAGATATAATCAAACAAAGTGATATGATTAGAAATGAAAAAGTTATAACTAAAAGATTTGAATTCGATGCGAAAAGTTTAGCAAATTTGAAAGAAAAGATTAAAAATGGTAATTCTACCCGAGTAGAAGCTGTTACTGCACTCATCTGGAAATCTGCAATGAAAGCTGTTAGACTAAACTCAGGAAAAGATAAGCTTCCATCATCCATTGCTACTCATTTAATCAACATTCGAGATCGGATGGATCCACCATTACCTGGTTATTCATTAGGTAATTTATGGCGATTATCGCTCGCCCCATGTGTTGATGAAAAGAAAGATGTGGAGTTACAAGAGTTAGTAAGTCTCCTTCGAAAATCCATTCGACGGGTTGATAATGATTATGTGAATGAACTTCAAGGAGATGGTGGGTTGTTAAAGGCTCTAGAACCTTTGAAAGAACTAAGACAGCTAGCTTTAGGTGGAGAAGGAGTGGAGGTTTATACTTTTAGTAGCTGGGCAAGGTTTCCTCTTTATGAGATTGATTTTGGATGGGGGAAGCCAAGAAGAGTTTGTACAATAACTGTGCCTGTCAGGAACTGTGTTATTTTGATGGGAACAAGATCTGGTGATGGAATAGAGGCATGGGTGACCTTGACTGAAAAAGACATGGCCAAATTTGAAAGCAGTGAAGAGCTACTTCAATTTGTTTCAGGGAGTGCTTGATCGTCCTTTGGTATAAGCTAGCAAATGTTTGCCTTTGGCTATTGATTTTCTATCATTTGCTCTTTTTTTTTTTTTTTTTTTTCGTCCTTTGGTATAAGCTAGCAAATGTTTGCCGTTTGGCTGATTGATTCTATCATTTGCTCTTTTTTTTTTTTTTTTTTTTGGGTGGGATTCACGTTATCATAATCTCTTTGTTTCTCATTTCATATTTACCCTATTATGTTTTCTTTCATAAATCGTCTGTTCTGGTTTTCATGGTAACCTATATGTTTTCTTCAGTATTTCACATCATCGTAAAAACGAAATTCAAAATTCATTTTTTTTTTTTTTTTTTTGGGTGGGATTCACTTATTCATAATCTCTTTGTTTCTCATTTCATAGTACCTATATGTTTTCTTCATAATCTCTTTGTTTCTGGTTTCATGGTACCTATATGTTTTCTTCATATTTCACATCATCGTAAAACGAAATTCAAAATTCAAAATTCAGACGACACTGTTTGTTAACCGGAAAAAAAGGCTCCTCATTCCTGGTTTTTCCAGAGTTGTATCCTCCAAAATCTCAAAAGCAAAGCTGACAGCTGCTCTCTCTCAATAACATAATAGCTTTTATAATAGCTTTTAAGAATTTACATTTAGCTTTTCAGCTATAATCATATTTAATTAAACAACTAATGTCTGTCATTTTAAATTAAACAGCTAATTAAATAATTTTTTTACTGAGCATTTCTAATTTAAACTGTTGTATAAATAGCTAAAAGTCAGTAACTACTAAAACAATTAATATTAGCGAATAGACCCAAAATTGTCCCGTCTTGAAAATGCTAATTCTAATGGGTTTTTTCATGAAAAGAGGCAAAGGCCTTTGTCAACTGAAAAACCATAAAACCAAAGCTTTATATGTGCAAGTGCCAAAAGAAAAGGAAAAATTGCTTATGCCAAAAGAAAAAGAAAAATTGCTTATGAAGCATAGCAAAGAACCTGTCAATGTAAAACATTTGAAATATTAGGGTTAAGATAACTGCTGTATCCGGAAAAAAGATAATTAAAATGAATTTCTTTTTTAATAATATAGCAAATGATAAATTAGAGAACAAAGAACATAAGAAGAGAATATCACAATCATTCTGATCTTGCTCGTTCTAATTAACAGCCATTCCAAAAAGTGATGGCATGAATTGTAGAAGGCAGTAGGCACCATTTCTTGGACAAGAAAATAAGCATGTGTTTAGGGCTAAAATTCCTTATACAGACCATATCTAAACAAAGTTGCTATCGTATAGACAGTGAAGCTTACCTGAAGAAAATTAGAAAGAAATTCACACTTTTGTTCTCTTGTTCAGAAATGTGTACCTAATGCTCGCCAAGAACTGAACATCAAGGTTTTGATACTTCACAAAGTCAAGAATCGTCATAGTGATTCCAAATTACTGTGAACTCGGGAAGCAAGTCTTTTAACTGATCGATCATCAAAAGAGCCATCGATATCCTTAATTTTTGAAACAAACTCCATAGCTTCATTATATTTTTTTGCTTTACAATAACCATCCACCACAATCTTGTAGGTTAGTTCATTTGGTCTGCATTTGTGCTCAATCATGTAGCTAATGACGTCATTTATTTCTGAAAACAATCCCTGCGCTGCATAGCCAGTGATAAAAGTATTGTACGTAAAAATGCATGGTCCAATTCCAATAGATGTCATCTCGGATAGAATTCTTATAGCCTCCTGCATGAGTCCTCGTCTACAAAAACCTTTGATGACAGTGTTATATGAAACGAGGTCCGGTTTCCCCCCAGACACTAGTAGCATCCTCAGCACCTCTTCTGCTTTCCAGCAGTCTCCCCCTCTTGCATACATGTCCATCAAGCTATTGTATGTGACGACATCTGGCTGCAACCCATTCTCAAGAATCAAATTCAAAATTTCATGAGCTCGGTCATACATATTGTTCTTGGCAAAAATTGAAACCATTGTATTAAATAGAACTAAATCAGGTTTGTATCCGTGTTTTTGCAATGCCTGAAATGCCCTTTCCGCACCCTTTAGTGATCTACACTTGAAGTTTGCAAGAACAAGGGTTCTCAAAAGCATCCAGCTCGGAAAGATATGGCCATCATAAATATCTTTCTCGATCCTTTCTATACCTTTCACATTCCCTCCCTTTGCATAAGAATGAAGCATCAGTGAGTATGAGGTCTCACTGGGTTTAAAGCCCTTATTCCTCATGTCTTGGATGACTGATTCTGCTGCTTTCCAATCCCCTCGTCGAGCTAGAGCATTCAGAAGAGCATTATACGTGGTAACACATGGAGTAAACCCTGCTTTTATCATCTCGTCATACACTTTTGCAGCATCAATATCTGAACCACATCGCCCATATGCACTAATCAAAGTGTTAAATGTGTCTCTACCAGGCTCAAACCCACAACTTTTCATTTCCTGAAAAATCCGATTCACATATTTGTGCATACCCTCATCACCACACATGGCAAGCATTGTGTTCCACGTAATACGGTTAGGAGAACATCCATTTAATTTCATATCAGACAGTATCTTCATCATCTCCTTTGATCGAGACTTCTTGCCTAGCATTCCGAGGACAGTATTATAAGTACAGACATTAGGAACACAGCCCAACTCTTTCATCTGATCAAACAACCATAAAGCCTTGTCCACCTCTCCTGCTCTTCCATAAGCATTTATTAAAGTAGTGTACGTAATAGCATTGGGCATGATTCCCTTACAAGCCATTGCATCTATAACAGCAGCTCCTTCCTCATAGAACCCTGCCCTCACGTAAGCTGCGACAATCTCGTTATAAGTTACAGCATCAGGTGGACAACCATTATCCTCCATTTCTTTCAAAATGCTCAACACCTCCGAGTAATCCCCTGCTTTCCCAAAAACTTGCAGTAAAGCATTGTAAGTAACAGTCCCAGGTACATAGCCATGAGACTTCAATCCAGCAAAGAAGCCTTTGGCTTCATTTAGCAAACCCTCTCTTCCACATGCAGATATAACAGTACTGCAAGTAAATTCATCAAACTCAAGCCCTTTATTTCTCATCTCATCTAATAGGCCTAAAATCCTGTCCCAAGACTGACCCATTTTCCCATAAACATCCAGCATGACATTGTAAGTTACCAAAGTTGGCGCCACGCCTGACTCGATCATTCTCTCAAATATTTCAATCGCTCTCTTATATTTCCCAGTACGAGAATAAGCATGAAGAATAGTTGTGTAGGCTCGAACATCGAGCAAGTACTCATTAAGGGGAATTTTATCAAACAGCTTAGATGCAATAGAATGCTGTGACTCTCTACCAAGAATCCTGGCCATTAGATCAATAGCTTGGCACCCTAATTTGTCATTTTTAGTTCCTAAATTCAAAATTGTCCATTCAAACAAAGAAAGAGCTCTTTCCCAATTGCCAGAATAATCTAATGCTTTTAACAGGCTAATCAAATCAGCTTGAAGCAGCTCATATTTGCAGGAATCAAAGAAAGAACTTAAACTATGTAAAGGCTGTTCGATAATTGAATCAAGCATCAGCTTACCATTCCTTGACAAATATTCAAGAGACACACTATATGATACATCCTCTTCTTTGTCGACATCAAAGTCACTGACTGAAATGGGTTTTCTTTTATAAGCTTGTTGGGGCTGTTTCTGATTCGAATCATCAGAAATTTGAAGAGAAGATAATTTTGGGTTGTTCAGTTTATGGGTAGTGCGGTTGGGTGAGTAAGAGAGATGGTGGAGGTGTTGAAGAAGCGAGTCGAAATGTAACGACAGACGGGAGGAAGACGGCGGAGGAGGCGGTGGCAGTTTGGCTGAGCTGAATTTGAGAGGTGGGTTTGGTTGTGGTGGTCTGTTTGTTGGGATAGGATAAACTGGTTTGTTAGGGAAGAGGGTGCCTTCCATTGCATGACAAATTGAGAAATGTTGTTTTGGGTTATTGAAATTAAAACAATGAAGCGGAAGAGAGAGCTTAGTCTTAGATAAGGGCTGTAGAGAGAAAAATAGGCGGGTAAGGCAAAGATGACTGGCCTCTGTTGAAGATGGAACTTTGGGCCGAGGATTGGGCCTTCCAACCCATACGGCTATACAGAGATTAGTTATTGTTAGCGAGACTTTAGTTGCAATTGGCTGGGGGGCTGTTGTTAAGCTTTAGCTAATGGCAGATAAGTGTTGGATGATTAACGTTGATAATTTAATAAAATTTTGGCAGCGGTTATTATTGAGACGTAAAATAGTCATTAAATGGTATAATTATTTTTATAAATTATCATGTGTTATATATATATTAGGTAAAAATATTATTTCTAGTTTTATATATTATATAAACAAAAAATAGTAATTAAATTTTTATAATAATATTTGATATTTTTTTATTATTTTTAAATGCACATATAAGATATGAATGTGACATATTTTTATGTAAATCATGGCAATTTTCACAAAAATACTAACATATTTTTTAAAATAATTATAAATAAAATGAACGCATGGAAAATTAATTTAAAATATAATTATGCACTACAAAAAAACTATTAGCGACTGTTTACAATCCTGTCGCTAGTTAGAAACTAACCAACAACACAGAGAAACAATGTATGACCTTCAAATATGCAGTGTTATTAGCGAACAATCTGAGATAGACAACAACAAAATTCAGCGACCACTATCTGTCCCTGAATATGGTGCCAAATTATAGCATTAAATTCAGAGACAAAACAATAACGGATTACGGACCGAAATTGCTACCGCTTGGCAACTTGATTCATAACTGGTCATTAATTGTTGGTGCCCAAAAAATGGCATGAATTTGGCAACAGATTAGCAGCATGATTAATTTTGTAGCTGCTGAATGGATGGCCCATGTTTGAAGATGGCAACAGATTTAGTGACTGGTAGTTTTATTAGCGACCAACAGAATCCATCACTACTTTATAAGGCTTTTTAGTTGCCCTCTTTTTCCTTGTGGCGGCGACTAGTTCTTTCTCTCTCTCTCTCTCTAGCTGCTTTTAGTTCGAGTCGAACCACCTGCACCTCGTCGATCGTCGTCATCGGAGCTCCATATTCACATTTTTTTTTTTTTTTTTTTTTTTTTGCTGCTTTTAGTTCGGAGTTCGAACCACCTTGCACCTCGTCGACGATCGTCGTTCAGTCGGAGCTCCATTATTCACAAGTTTTTTTTTTTTTGTTTTTGTCTTTTGATTTTTTTTTTTTTTTTTTGTCTTTTGTTTCATTTTCTGCAAATGCTTCTGTGTTTGTTGTTTAATGGATTTTCTATATAAGATGCATAGCTCAGGAAAGAAGCAAAAGTGCATGTCTGGTGAGGTTTGGACTAGCTAGCAGCAGGCAGAGTCTAGTTCTGGTTATGTCAAGAAATGTGAAATCATATCATGTAATACGCTGAGTGAGATAGGTTGTGAGGGAGTTGGTCCGTCTCAACACACTTTGCGGTTCCATTTTTGCCGCTGAGATCATTGAGAAATTGGTGAGCTGACCACACTTATTTCTCAAATAAATACGGTGTTTTCATCTTACAGATGAAGAACACGGGTCGTCTATAGGGTTGAGCAATCGAGGTTTGGTTCCGAACAGGAAGGAATCAAAAAATGAAAAATCGAAAATACACATTTTCAATTAAACCTATCCAAACTGAAAATACTTTGGTAACTGAATTTGACCGAACGGCAAGTTTTGATTCAATTTAATTCGGTTATCCGAATATCCAAATTTATTTTGACCCTTTTTTTTTTTTTTGGAGTATTGACAAAAATCAATAATTCAATATTGTAATTCAAAAGTTGTGAATTTCCTAATAAAATAGTTTCTATCATCAGATCAAATTAAAATCCACAAGCTACAATAATAACTAACTATCCAAATTCATAAGCATTTGACGATACAATAACAAATTAACAATTCAAAATCCACAAATTAAAATTAGTTCACAATTCAAAAATCCACAAATTTAACAAGTTCATAATTCAAGTCTAAAAAAAGACAATAATTAAGAGATATTGTACTAAATATCAGTTTTTGAAACTTTATTTTAAAAAATGTCAGTTTGACCTTGAAATTTAAATTAATGTCATTTACGTTATTCAATTACTATTACACCCTTTTATTTTTTGTTCGGGCACTACATAACAGAATATTTCAGTATTTCTTTTTTTTCCAGTGTTTCATTTTTTTTTCTTTTCCTCTCCTTTTGTGCTGCCGTTAATAGAATGATCTTTTTCAGTCTTTGAAACTTCTTCAACCGCCTTTATATTTTCTTATTCTTTTTGCTCTTCCACGGTTTTGTTTTTTTGATTCACAGGGTTTGTTGATTTTATTTTTTGATTATATTTTCCGGCTGTTGTTTCTTGTTCTAAATAATTGTTTTTATTTTTTATTCTGTCACTTCTCTTCTGTGATTTCGTTTTTGTATAAACGTATCAGCGGTTTAATGCTCGCCGAAAAATTGTTACTGGTAGATCTTGTTTATACTTTAAAGAGACAAGATATGACTCTCGATTCTATTTAGATTAATATTGATACAATATATATATAATTGATACAAATAATAATAGTATATATATTAGTATATATATTATAATATAGTATATATACCACAACACATTTAATTAGTTTTACATATGTTCATATACCGTATTAATATCTTGGCATTACTGTATATTACTACACTATATGTCTATATCGTATTTACTGTTTGCTGTTGTTTACCCTTTTATTTTTATTAGGGCGCTACCAAAACAAAATATTTACAATGTTTCCATTCAATCTCTTGTTAAGGTTTTTCTGGTATTATTTAAATATACACACACGTATTTAATTAGTTTTACATATGTACATATACCGTATATATCTTGCATACTGTATATACTACATATATGTCTATATCGTATTTACTGTTGCTGTTGTACCCTTTTATTTTTTATTAGGCGCTACAAAACAAAATATTTCAATGTTTCATTCATCTCTTGTAAGGTTATTTTTGGTATTATTTAAATTTTTTTGACCAAAATTGTTATTATCTTAATTTGTATTCTTTTCTGACATTTTGTTAAAATTGGAACCTCATATATGATATTTGTTAAATTGCCCCATAATTTAACAATAAATCAAGTTCACGTGATAAAAGAACAAGCCAATAATAACTTCAAGCTTGATCATCAAATCTCATCCATGTGACAAGTCCCTAACCTAAAAGTTCACAATTCCATCATTTTCTCCAAACCTAAAAAAAATGGATAGAAACATAAATTAATAATTGTTCATCATATATAATTATGGAGCCTATATACATAATGACATGAAGATCACAAATTATTAAACATCAATGAACCTGTTAAAAAAAAGCTCTAACTTATAGCATTTGATACCATAGCATCAATTGTGATTTCAATTGAAGGTAGAGCTAAAATTAAAATCAAACAATAATCAACATGTATGCTCAAATGAAAATACTAAATAATATAAAAACAATAATTGTTTGATTTAATTACATACCTTGCTCAAGTTTTTCAAGTTCTTCTAAATCTTCTTCAATATTTAAGTAAGATGATCTAATCCAATCTTGTGCACATATTAATACCTCTACTATTTTAAGAGTAAAAAAACTCCTAAATAAGTCAAACACTCTTCCTTCGATACTAAAGGCACTCTCTGAAGCCATTGTCGATAAGAACTGCCGATATATCTCTAACCATTCATCTTCGACCATTTTAAGACATCAAAACATTCTTTGTCATCTTAAGTTACTTCATTAATATTGACATCTAACTTAGTTTTTACTTCTCTACCATCAAAATCTAAAAGTTTTTGCTTTTTGTAGTGTTGCTTCAGAAAGATTTTGGCCTTGCACTTATTAAACCAAGATCAATGTTACTTGTACTTACTTGAAATCCACCATTGTCACTAGACTGGCCATTTTGAGGTTGATACATATTTTTATATTCATTAAACAATTCTTTCACAGAGTTTTCACACTTATAAATAAACTTTCGCCATTTTCTTTGCCATACATCTTCTCATATGCATATTCCATGAAACTCTAATTTATCATGAGGATCAAGAACAACGGCTACATAGATAAGTTTAGTCATTTTGGTTATATCACTCCAATACTTATCAAATTTGACCCTCATTTTCTCACCCATAAGCTTCACATCTTTTTTCTGAATTGTTTTGTCATTCACTCAAAATAAAACACAAATAACTAATATCACTAAAGAACAAGTTTGATATGACATATCTTGAACCAAATATATGCAAAGTAAGCTCATAGAAATGAGATAACATATGAGCCATATCTAGCTTCTTCACAATCCAAGCGGTTGAAAATCTTTTCATCTAACTCAATCTTAAATGTTGGGTTTTATGACTCATACTTCTCATATGCTCTATCATATTTTTCTGTTGCTTTCAGCATTAAATATGTAGAATTCCATCTAGTAGGCACGTCTAAACGTAAAGATCACTTGCATTCAATTTTTTCATATTCAAAACACTCTAAATTTTTTCAATCTAGTTGGAGAACTCTGAATATACCTCACTGCATTCCTCATCCTTGTTGCTAACTCATTCACATCTTTTAATCCATCCATTACAACTAAATTAATAATATGGAAAATTACTATTATGTACCTGTATATATTGAAATACAACTAGTCAGTCTCTGCTTTGCTAAAAATGCTTTTTGAAGTCCCTAAATTTCAATTCCGTCTGATATTGAGTCATTCCATTGGATTTCATGTGTCTTGTCATTTAGTCAATACCAAAAAAATAAAAAAAAAAAGTCATATGAGAGAGCAAAATTTCATACCTAAAATATCCTTGAGACTCACAAGAACTCATTGACACACAGATTCTTCTATTAAACAAATAAGAACATGAATCTGCTAATAGAAAATCTACCTTAATTAACACAAAACAACAATTACATTTAATTTTCATAATAATTTATAGGATTTTTCTAGAAAAAAAAACATAATAGAGGAAAAATAACAAATGCAAATGCATTTTGCTAGTGACTTTGCGCAGCTTTTAGTAATCATATGCTTAATGGCAGCCTTCAAATTCCATCCATATGATAGCTAGCAAACCCATCAAGGCAAGTGTGTTTATCGGTTAATGATGAACTAACCCAGGTCTGCAAATTACTCGTATGCAAAACAAAATCTTGACCATAACTTGAATCCATAAACAAAATATGGATTTTTTTTTATCCCAATAAAAGATTAATTTGACTGAAAATATTTTAAATTCAAAAAATTAAAATTATAAACGAATTGCTGACCAAGATGATAAGGAGATACACTTAATTACATGCTTAACAAGCTAGAAAATTTCTACGACTATGAGAAATGTGAAAGGAGCAACAAACCCATAAGAGATCCTTCACCATTGCGCGCCGCTTAGCTCTCTGTTTCCATCATTTGGATATGGGTGGTGAAGTGGGTAAATACGAAGGAAATCTAAATGTTGACAAAATAAGATTAATGCACCGCTGGTTTAATCTGACATGTCGACCTCCACTGCTGATTTAGATGAGAGCATGAGAGGAAGAATCATGAGAAGGTTGAGTTTGCAGGTAGAGGTGATGACCAAAAAGGAGTTTTTGGTGAGTAATAGATGAGACCTATTTGTATTAGCTAACCAAACAATAACATCCAATTTATTATTGTACTAGATTTGAAGATTAAATTAGGGGATCGGAGAATCCATGATTTAGGTAAAGAGGCTAGAGGAGAAAGAGAGCCCTTTAAATAGATGAAAGGTTAGACATGAAACTGGTAAGGGTATTTAGGATATTTTGTATTGATTTAACTGCCAAATTGGCTAAAATAATGACCGAATATTATACGGAATTGAAATATAAAGACTTTAAAAAGCATTTCTAAAAATGTAGGGATGAACTAGTTGTATTTCGATACATACAGGAATGTAATAGTAATTTTTCCTTAATAATATATGTCATACATCTCATGTGAAGATAATCACAATTACATACACCAATATTTCAATTAATATTTTATTTTCAATATATCAACATCATTTGAACTAGCATTGTCAATAGTAATAGTAAAAGCTTTATCCAAGTCTCATTCAAGCTAGGCATGGCCACCGGTTCGGTTCTAATCGGAACCGAACCGGATCCGAACCGTACTGTAGACGAACCGGAACCGGACCGGAATCGGCGGTTCATAATTTTGAACTGGAACCGGCAGTTCAAAGGCCGGTTAAGGTTCATGTAAATCTTAAAAGTTTTCATAAGATTTTGAAACTGGAACCGGCAGCTTCAAAGGGCCGGTTAAGGTTCATGTAAAAATCCTTTAAAATATGAACCGAACCGGCAGTTCCGGTCCGGTTTGAACCGGATGCAGTAAAAAAATTTAGCTTAAAATTTTTTTATAAAAAAAATTATATTACTTTATTTTTGATTGTAGTTTGATTGTGATTTATGGTGAGGGAAAGTACAATTGGTACATTAAATTATAAAAAGTGTGAAAAAAATATACCATTTTTTTACTTAATTTATTACAAAAAAATGCGTACCATGAATAGTTGGATTTAATAAAAAAAAAAAAATGCTCTTCAACGTGTATGTAAAAAAGACGTGTAACACGAATAGTTTTTTGATAAAAAAAAGAGTGTAACGAATAGTTTTTGATAAAATAGGTGTTTTTTTATTTATTTTTTGGTAAATAAATTTTATTCATTTTTTAATCATTTATTTATTTATCTACTAAATTATCCAAAAATATAGTTGTTATTTTTTTATTATAAGGGACAATTTGGGAAACTAATAAATGAGAAACATGTCCAAATATGATGAGTTGATGATTTTTTATTTCACAACTAATTATATCATAACTCTTCTCTTATTTTCAATCAAAATTCTCGCAAATTTTCATATTTCATTATTTTTTCTATTGCTTTATTTTTCTTAATATTGGAATTATCTTTTTTACATCTAATGTCCAAATTCTTTTATTTAATCTCATTTTTTCCATTCTAAATTTACTTCATTTGATTTTTTTAATTAATTTTCTTAGTATTTTGAAAATAATAATTTTCCAAACTCAATTTCAAAATATTTTATATTCCATTTAGTTTCTATATTAAGTGAATTCAGAACAATTTTGTAAATTTAATTAAATATAGTTTTAAGTTAGTTAATAGAAGAGTTTTTCTTTTTAAAATTTTATAATAAATTTATTTATGTTAATAAAATTTAAACATTTTTAAAATTTATTATTTATTTATGAATTCGGAATCAAAATTTTATTATTCTTAAAAAATTTACGTAATGCGGAACCGAATCGGAACCGTAATTCGAAAACCGTCGGTTCGCCGGAACGTGTTCGAACCGTGCCAGAACCGGAACCGGGGTTCAAAGGGCGGTTCGCCGGAACCGTGTCGAACCGTGCCAGAACCGGAACCGGAGGTTCAAGGGTCGGTTTCGGTTCAAAATTTTAAACATCTCGAACTGGCGGTTCAGTGAACCGGAACCTGCGGTTCACTGAACCGGCCATGCCTAATTCAAGCAAACAAGTTTTAATTGTCTGCTAATTATTTCACCTTTATGACTTGAAATTGTACAAAAATTAATGATTTTTTTTTTCAAATTCCAATCATCACCAACATATTGTGTTGTGATACACAGATAGTTAATTCTTTGGCATGAGGTCCAAGTATCTATAATTAGGCAAATCTGTTGCAATTCTTTCTAAAAAAAATTCTTCAATGTAGACCTCGTATTCAAATACAATTGATAACAATCTCAAAAAACTACCGAACGAGATGAAATTCTAAATCTAGGGTATACAGCTTTCATAAATTGCTTTAAACCCTCACCTTCAATAAACTTAAAAGGTAATTCATCCACAACAATCATATATGCATGAGCCTTCCTAATTGCATATTCAGCATATTTCTAAGTACTAAGTGTGTCTACATCTCCCTCATTAGGATTTGAAATACGTTATAGAGATAATTGTGTTTCTCTCGTGTCAATTGCATGTAGGTGATGCTTACAAGAATTCATGTGATTCTTAAGTGCAGATGTGCCATTATTTCTTGTATTGCAATAAAATTATTTGATATAATGATTATACTTACATTTTTCTTCTCCTCCCTCACTAATGAACTTTGTGAAATGATTTCATATAGCAAACTTTGATTTTATTGGCTTTATCAAATTTCTTGATGCAATTTCAGATTCACTTTTAGTTGAGTTGGGTTTGATGAACTCACGAGTTCTTCAGGAGGAGTTGATAAACTTGTTTTAGCTATTGTAAACTGCAAAAATGAAAAAGAAAGGAATGGAATCAATAATTATCTCTATCTTCTTTAGTTAAGTTCGGCAAACCCATGTAATTAAATTAAAGAAAATAAATAAAATTCAAAGATTTCACTTAAAAACTCAGTAATGGAAACATAATATAAAATTATTCTGCTGGATGAACTTAATACATTCATTTATATGGAAACACAGCAGCTTGTAGTTTCTCATGAAAATTGAATAGAGAAGGCAATGGAGGTTACAAGATTTTTAAGATGACAATAAAAATTTTATAGAATATATTCATGGCAAGAAAATAAACATGAAAACCATTTCAAAAAAGTTTATGCTTCACTTGAAAAAACAAATTAACAATAATTCAGCTACTATCATAAAAGCTAAAATAAAAAAGTTAACAAATTAACAATCATACATCTACTGTTATTAGTTCCATTTTTAAAAGAAGTTAAAAAAAAAAAAAGAAACAGTAGTATAAACTTAAAAACAATAACTGATTCAATGTGTCCCTTAATTCTAAATATTATATAAAAAAAATTGTTCAATATTATATTACAATTATATTGAAAGAAAAATTAAAAAAAAAATAGAAAGGAAAAGGAAAAAAAGATAAAGAACGAATTTAAAAATATATATATTTTGTTCTATCATCAACATGCAAAGAGACAGATTAATCTAAATCAACAATTCAACATGCAAAGTTCTATCGTCATACTGTTGGCTATATTAATTAAAATTATCAAACTAAAAACAAAGAAGGTAATGGAGAGAGAGAGAGAGGTAATGAGAACTGATTTGATTGGAGGAAATTACTACTCTGCTTGAAGTAGGCAAGGTCGTTAGCTTCACGTGTGGATTTAGCCGGAAAAGGAGATTAGTGAAGAAAGAGAGGTGATAAGAACTGAGAAGATGAGAGATTTGCAACTGCAAAATATAGAAATTTGAGGGCGAAATTCTATTAAGGACTGAAGAGAGAGGAGAGGAATGGAGAAGATTTAAGTCGTTGTAAATAAAATGCAGGTTTTAATTGTGTACCAAAATGCAGTGTTTTAATTTGCTGCTTGGTTCGGTTAACCACATAATTTTTATTTATCCAAAATCGAACCGTGTCAAAAATCTAAAATTATTGCTAATTAAAAACTGTAATTATTCCAGAAATCAAAAAATCGAACCAAATAACTGAAATTAATCAGTTTCGTTTGATTTTCAGCTTTTTTCCGGATTATACTCACACCCAGTTGTCAAACTACTCTGATGGAGGCCTTCACATATACACGTACTAAGAAACATGACGAGATGACAATTAGTGATCGGCGCGCGGAGCTTGTTACGGTAAGTTCAGAATTCTTTCACCTGTATTTTAGTATTTCGACAGTTTTGCATTATCCTCATTGTTTATGTTGTTCTTTTCAGGATAATTATGCTACTAGTTTAGAGCTTGTAACTTCTTCTCAGGCTTCGCCTGGTGAGCGGCTGACCATCGATGAGTTCTAGCTATATCTCAAGGCTGCTGGAGGCGAGAAGAAGAGTAAGGTGTAAGGCATTGGCTTGCAATCATCAGTTTTTACAACCGCTCTACTAGGGCCACAAGCAATAGAGCCGCACTAGTTCAGACCGACGGTAATGAAAAATTTTTTCACAAGTGTACGAAATCGCAAACAAGTAATAAAGAGTGAGTAGAGTATCGTCCCACGAAGATTGTATACTAAGTATCAAAATTGTATTAACCTACTATTATTTAAACGACAAAAAGTGGAATAGATTGAAAAATAAAATAAAATAAAATAATGTATAAGGAATCAAATAAGAAATTTGATGAAAAGAAGTCAACGATTAAAAGTTACTAGGGATATCGATTTCACTTAATTCTATGCAATTTATTTTATTAGTTTGATAATCAATTTTAATTGTTTAAGTAGGGAAACAACCCTAAAATCACTAACAGGCTCTCCCGATTAAGTAGGGAAACAACCCTAAAATCACTAACAGGCTCTCCCGACGTATGTTTAGCTATTTTAACCGGGTCTAATTACCTATCTTCTAATAGCGCAATTAAACATGGATTAAATCATTAAGTTTTATGGTTTGTTTATGAATTCATAACCTAAGGTCATTAACTTATGAAAACCCCCATGAGTCAAACCATACAGCTTCCGTATCAAGTTATTATTCTCATGTATATTACCTTTTTCATATCAAAAACCCTTCTCCCGATAGTGATTAAAGAAATAAATCAATCCAGGAGAAAAACTCTGCCTGAAAGCTTTAAATTCAATAATAAATTATACTTTGAACAAAGAAAAATAAAAAGCTTTAAATTCAATAATAAATTATACTTTGAACAAAGAAAAATAAATCTAATATTATAAATTGAAATATAAATTAAGTTACGTCAAATCCACAGCATGTGAATTTAGTTCAACATAGTAAATAAATTAAACCCAAATAAACT